TAGTGAAAAAAGAAAAAGCAGTTCCCTTACCAGGGGAGTTGTTAGGGTTGTGAACAAGTTTAGGAGCGTGTCTACATAATAAAGAGATCCATAGTGCAATTGTATGCATGCCTACTCTGAAAAACTCAATTGAGTACAGCAGTGTTTATTCCTAGGTAAATGTGTATAGGAATACGGCCTCAGATATTATAATCTTATGGTTGTTCTTGCTGCCACAGGAACATGATGTCTGTGACTGGTGCAGGGAGGGCCAAAAGAATGGACACAGGATTCTGGTATTGGGCTGGATTAGGCCACAGCTTTATTGCTTATAAGTAAGAGTAGGTTTGGCCAAGGCATTGGTCATGTATCCAGCATCAGGAAGCCCACATTCTGCCTGATAGGAACCCAGTGGGGTCGACCCTGTGCTTCTGGGAGAAAACCTCCGCCACACATGCATTCCTGTTCTCTCTAGAAGCTCCACAGAAGTGTTACAGGGGTGCCTTTAGGGAACCAGAGTACTTCTTCATCACATTGCAGAATTAAATTTTGGAATTCGCTCCCACAAGAAAGAGTGATGGCCAGCCATCTGGATTACTTGGATTGGACAAATTCATGGAGGATAAGGCTTGGATTGGACAAATTCATGGAGGATCAGTGACTACTAACCACAATGGCAATACTCTGTGTCAAGTTGTGGGTGAACATATCAGATGACACAGCGATTCTTCAAACAGCTCTTGTTTATTCACAGGCCAGAACAGAACTGAACTGAAGGGTTCAGCTAGCCTGCTTATATAGAGCTCCACTAGAACGCAACAGTAACCGTTTTCTGTAACTATCCAATCACTGAACGTCACTTTCAATCCCTTATTTGCATATGTGGACCTGAGTGAAAACTATCTACAGTATCCCCCTGCTGGCCCAGGGTGAGAACTTCAGTACATAACACTCTGCCTCCATGGTTGGAAGCAGTAAGCTTCTGAATATCAGTTGTTGGAAGCCACAGGAAGGGAGCGTGCTCTTGTGCTAAGGTCCTGCTCGTAGGTTTCCCACAGGCATGTGGCTGTTGGACTGGATGGGCCGCTTGCCTTGATTCAGCAGAGCTACTCTTATATCCTGGTGTTCTTAACAGTAGCTTTTGACACAGCAGCAGTCCTTAAACAGACTTCTGCCCATATTTTGCATTCATATCAACTGGCACATCTCATACTAAAGTAAGGGTAAACATTTGAAGCTTAATAGTTAAAGCAGAGCTGTGGCTCTCCAGCTATTGTACAGATGGTTGGCGGGCCATAGCCCTGCTGTAGAGCTTCTGTTTTGCATGCAGAAGGAACTAGGTTCAATCACTGGCATATCCAGGTAGGGCTGGTGAAGACTTCTGCCTAAAACACTGGATAGCCACTGTCAGTCAGTGTAGACAATACTCAGCTAGATAGAGCAGTGGTTTGACTTAGTGTAAAGTGTGTTTTTGTGTATGTGTTTGTTTGCTCCCATAATCTCTGACCCCCTGGCCATGCTGACTGGGCTTGTTGGAAGCTGTAGTCTGGCAGGTTCTGGCCGTCCTGGGTTAAAGAATAAATGGTAGGAAGTGAAGACATAACTTTTCAGAAGAATAAAATAATGGGCAGAGACATGCCATTATTTTAAACAATTAAGAGATTCTGCATTATAGTGTGGATAAGACATATGCCATTTTACAAATTAAAAGGGGCAACGGCTGACTTTTAATTTACTAATGTGGAAGTGAGTAATAATGTGATAAAACCCGTTCAATTTCTGTGAAGAGTTAAAAGAAAATCATTTCCTGCTTATTGGTTCATTTTGTAAATAGAGATCAATGAAATTCCTCCAACAAAAGCATGAAATCAATTGCAAAATAGCATATAATTTGTGATCTGTATTGTAAATTATAGTTTATTTGACGTTAATTGGTGAGGTTTCCATATACTGGGATGCATTTCCGCATAACACATCTCTGGACAATTCTCATGGATCCATTTCTAATGCATCTTAGAGTGATCTGTTTTTCATGCCCACAACTGCCTACATTTGCTCTTATGCAAATAACCCAATCAAGCAAATGGAAAACAAGATGCTGTAATCAGAAGGGGCTTGACAAACAGTAACCTTAGAGTTTTAGGGGAGTGCCCCGGATTTAGATTTATGTTCCTACCTTCATCTGTAGCAGCAATTGATCCATTATGAAGCACTTGAATAGGTCAATATCAGACAAGAAGTACAAATCGGATCAGATGTGGCAAGTAATTGATGCTGGTTTGATTTAAATGGGTGGTTTCTGTAGCTCACTGTTTGTAGGAAATGTAGCCTGGGCTCTTCTCGTGGGCACCTTTTCTCTCTCCCATTCTTGTGGCTACTTGTCATGCCACAAGACATGAGAGAAACTTCAATAGTTTAGAGGCATGCAACCATTGTTTTCCTTAGTGAGTAATCCATTGTGGCTTGGCTTGAAAGCAGATTTATTCCCTGAGAAAGGCAGGAAGAAATATAATAAAGGGAGAGAAAGGAAAGGCTGGGATAAATCTGTATATGATTAAAAAGATATAAGAGGGTAGAGTTACAGATAGGTAGCCGTGTTGGTCTGCCATAGTCAAAACAAAAAAAAAAATCCTTCCAGTAGCACCTTAAAGACCAACTAAGTTAGTTATTGGTATGAGCTTTCGTGTGCATGCACACTTCTTCAGATACACTGAAACAGAAGTTGCCAGATCCTTCTATATAGTGAGAAGGTGGGGAGGGGTATAAGCGGGTAGATTCCATGGTACATGATCAGATTAAGAAGGGTTGTAGGTTTGAAGAGGCTCCAAACCACTGTGACAGAAGACTGGTGCCAGAACCAAGAACATTCTACCACACATCATATTTCCTGTTACCAGCTCTGATCAGGTGCACCACTTCACCCAAAGCTTGAAGACTAGGTTTCCACCCAATGCCTTAACCTCCAAAAGTTGTGACGTTTTGCTTTGGGGAAAGGCAAACCTCTAGACCAGCCAATTTGTTTACAGAGAAATTCCTTCCTGGCTTCGAATACAGCAACCACAGCAAGGTCAGGAAGCACCATTGGAAAAATGCCCTTGGGGGTGTCTGCAAGCCCCCGGAACTCGAGTATCTTCTGGGATGCGCAGCTCTGGAAAAGGCATCTCCCTTCTCTTCCAGTGCGCTTCTAGCGACATACATCATAATGATATATGCACACTAAGCCTCTGGCATAGCACAGCAAGAAGCGTGAGACATCGTAGAGCTAATCTACTACAGTGGTACCTCGGGTTAAGTACTTAATTCGTTCCGGAGGTCCGTTCTTAACCTGAAACTGTTCTTAACCTGAAGCACCACTTTAGCTAATGGGGCCTCCTGCCGCCACCGCACGATTTCTGTTCTCATCCTGAAGCAAAGTTCTTAACCTGAGGTACTATTTCTGGGTTAGCGGAGTGTGTAACCTGAAGCGTCTGTAACCTGAAGCATATGTAACCTGAGGTACCACTGTATTTATTTACACACTATGTACAGATAAAAGCATAATGGCATGCATTCTCTCCAGCTCCAAGAGAACAAACAGAAATAAATAAAAGCGAAAGTACAGTGTAATAGTTCCCACAGCGGAAGAAATAAGACTGTCTTCCAAGTTGTTAGAATACAATCTAGGGAATAAAATGAGATTAAAGCAACAACCTGAAAAACTAAATATGGTAAAAATAATGTGAAATTGACCTAAAATGTAAATGAATGATTAATGATGAGGAAGGGTAAAAGGGTTTTCTCTTCAGCCAACAGGGCTGTGGAAAGCAAGCACAGCCCGCTCTCTCTCTCTTTTAAAACTTATTTTTATTAAAGATTTTCTTAGTTTACAAAACCTGGCACTGAGATGGCAGCAGCTAATCCCTGGCCAGCCAGTGAGGCACTGCCCAGCCAGTGGGGTCTCTGATCAGCCCATTTGAAGCTGGGGTCGGGCAGGAGGTCCTGCTTTGAGATTGTGCCAGCCAGGGGAATTCCCAAATGGACGGCAAACATGCAATAGCTGTCTGCCAGGATGGAGGCGAGGAGCCCCAACCACATCCCACCTGGAAAAGGTGAGCATCCATTGTAGACTATGTCTTGGTTTTTTATTTACTAAAGACTTAAGAATTTCTATCATTTTTTCTTAACACCGATATGTTCCATTTTAATAATAATTTTATTATTTATACCCTGCCCATCTGGCTGGGTTGCCTCAGCCTCTTTTGGGATGACTTTCCACCATGGTACCCAGCCACCTTGACAATCTTGCTATTTTCGCCAGCTTATTTCTTTTAGTCTATATTAGTCTCAGGTACACCATGATTCTGGAACACAACTACTTTACATTCACATTTCAAAGTTCTTCCCTCCCTCTCCATAGAACCTTACAACTCAGCTATTGGAAGCTACATGAGCTGCACACATTCTAAATTTATTGCAGGGAGCCAGAAAGCCAGAGGGTTGTTAGGAGATAAAGAAATGTATGTTTTCAGGAAAAATAGTTAATTCTAGCAGAGGAAGAGCTAAATATGAAAGGAAGTGTGTGCTAATGTAGACAGGGCCTTACAGAAGGCTGCAATTTTCAAGACCTCGGGGAAATTTCACATATTAGATATTATGAAATATATCATAATAGCTATATGTAATATCTAACACATTTTATGAGAGAAAACAACCCTTTGAGCACATTAAGACTGATGTATATATGGGAGTGTTCATTATGTTTTATACATAAAATTGTATGAAACAGATTAATGCATATGCCTTTTTTCTATATTACATTTTCCTCTTTCGTTCAGTAGCTCAGTTTTGCAAGAAGATATATGGAACAAAATGAGATCAATAACTATGCTAACAGTGTTTATAATATTCTAACTCCACCACCACCATCCTGCTTAAAAGTGCAAAATACGTGGTAGATAATTCTTTTCAGTGTTTCTGAATCCAGTCCTTTATGAAATCCTAAGGAAAAAGCTAAATGCCATACCTGTTTCCTCCTTTTGTAGAATTACGAGTTTTTGCAGCGCACCAGTTTCTTGTCACTGCTTGCACAATTGTTGGCTGTACAAACAGCTCCCAGGTCACCTTGTTTACAGCCCAGCTGCCACCAGCTCATGTGGATGCACCGGTCCTGACCGTTTTGGATTCTAAAACAATATATGCACAGTTAAGTATAGACTTTCCTCTTTCACCCGTGGTTTCAGTTTGGGACAAACTTGGCTTCTTCTCTTTTGGTCTCCAGGAATGCTCAACTTGCATGTGGCAGCAAGGGACTCCCAGATTGTCTTTGCCTAGTTGGGGGAAATCCAGGTTGGGGTCTTAGCAGAGGCTATGACTTTGACTCAAACTAAATGTGACTTTAAATGTGAGGTTATCTTTGATGTGTCTAGTTTTTCCCCTACCAGAAAATGGGTTTAATCCTCCCCCACTAAAGAAATGAAAATACCTCCTCTCTCTCAAAAACCCTTGCTATTAGCACCAGCACTGAAGCTTCCATTGGTTCCAGTGTAGCCAGTAGTGATCCTTTTCATGCTAAAGGATATTAAATTCTTGCTGGCTCTGGTTACAAAAGATCCAGCTGCCAGGGTTTAACGCCCTGCAATGACATTTGGGAAAGGGGCTACCCTCCCCATAGGCTATTCAGCAATGGAGGTGATAACTGAGCACTCCCAGTCATCCTCTGGGGAATACTAAGGGCCAGTTGAAGGAGCTTGGTAGGTTTAAGTTTCCCCATGCCTGTCTTAGTAGAAGGAGCCAGCAAAAGGCTATGAGCACATAGTAAAAGGTACCCCTGCCCGTACGGGCCAGTCTTGACAGACTCTAGGGTTGTGCGCCCATCTCACTTTATAGGCCGGGGGCCAGCGCTGTCCAAAGACACTTCCGGGTCACGTGGCCAGCGTGACAAGCTGCATCTGGCGAGCCAGCGCAGCACACGGAAACACCGTTTACCTTCCCGCCAGTAAGCGGTCCCTATTTATCTACTTGCACCCGGGGGTGCTTTCGAACTGCTAGGTTGGCAGGCGCTGGGACCGAGCAGTGGGAGCGCACCCCGCCGCGGGGATTCGAACCGCCAACCTTTCGATCGGCAAGCCCTAGGCGCTGAGGCTTTTACCCACAGCGCCACCCGCGCACATATGAGGTATCAACCCGCGCACATATGAGGTATCAAAACCTTATGAAACCTTATATTTCATACCAGATTAAAATGCAACTCTTTATGGTGAACTTCTTTTCTATAAACTTTAAATAAAACATCTTTGGTTAATTTTTTGGCTGGCTCAGTTCAGTTATTTTTCTACTGCTGGAATTTGACAAAAAGTGTCTGTCACTATTAAATGTGTGTGTGTGTGCATTCATGTGTGCGTGCATACATACATACATACACCTATATATGGCTTGCTTTATTCTGTTTTTATTACCATTTGTTAGCTGCTTAAAGACAGGAGTGCCTGGCGTGCTCTGGTCCATGGGGTCACGAAGAGTCGGTCACGACTAAACGACTAAACAACAACAGCTGCTTGGAGAGTATTTGGAGAAACATGCATACATAATAAATAAAAAATGTGGCAGACCTCTGTTAGAGACCTGTTACCAGTTATAGTTGCACAATAGTAAGGCGGCTTCCTATGTTCTACGTCTGAGTAATAGAGTCCCCCCATCTTACCTGGGCTTACCTGTGGATTCTTATTCTGAATGGTCATAGTGTAGGCCAGTCTACTGACTCTAGATGTTTCTAGAATTCCTCTCCCCAACCTTTCAATTGGTGGGTCCAGTGTCGCCCACCTTCTAGTAACTCTGGATAGTTCATGTATAAGGGGTGGCCATTGTCTTAGCATATTCCTTTTCTCTCTCTCTTTCTAAAATCTGTTAAAGTTCTGATTAAGTTTTAGCATAGTTCATTCTGTTGTTGACAACCCATTGGCAATTGCAATGGGGCACCTTTTAATACCTGAGGTGTTTCTTTGGCTCTGGGGCTTGCTCTTTCTGTTCTGGAAAGTCTTCTCTTGGTGTTGCTTGCAAGATGACCCCCAAATGGTGACCAGGATGGTCTCAGTAAGCAACACTGCCTCACCCTGGTACCATGGAGAATGGGTAAGCCAAATTTCTCTCCCCCCACCCTTTTTAAGATTACACAAATGTTTTTTTTTCTGTTTATGCAAGAATCCTAGTGAGTTCAATCACAGATAGGGTTTGTGACAAAAATTAAATTTATTATGATTAAATGCATACAAGTGATTAGTTTAGTGCCTCTGTGAACCTTTGATTATCACTTGCCAACTTAATTTCCATTTTGTCTTTATGCAATCAGTGTATCCTACATATGGTCATAGCCTCAGTGCAAAGATTGCCACAGGGGGAAAAAATGCTTGTGATACCATCAGCATGAAGCTTTTACCTTGAAGATATTGTCACAATCATTTGGGCTCCAAGTACAAATATTACCTTTAAAGAATGTTTCATGTTGCCACATGTGTTACTTCAATATTTTCCCCAGACTGTTTGATGACCAGATTATTTTTCCTCCTTTAAGTAATTACTATAAGGATTTCCCCCCTTTAAACTTTGTATTTCAATAGTTGCATGAGTTGCTTTCTGAATGCAATTATGTCTTGCTTTTATTTTCAGGTGGAAAGCACCAGAGGATGTAAATGGCAACCTGCAGCGCTATATCCTGTACATTGCCAATAATGAGAAAAATGCCACAGTTTGGATGTCACCTATAATTCTACAGATCTTTTCCAGCACTATACCATCCGACGCCTTTCCCCTGGTACTGAATACTTCATTAAGCTTGCAGTAAGTTGCACACACACACACACACACACACACTAATGAGACAGTCAAATAGATAACTTTTATGTGTATTTATATTTATACTTCCTTTTGACTATTGTGAAGGGTGTCGGAATCATAATTTTAATTTTTGTATAACTTTAAGCAAGTTTTGCAACAACTTTAATGCCAAAGAAAGGGACTGTTGTTTTTAAAGACGGGATAGGCAAAACCAACCATCACCCCATAGTTTTGAAGACTCCACCAAAGCTCCAGAAATGAAATAACTTCCACAGTTCACTACAAATTAATGATGGAAATTAAATTCAATTTGCAACAACCTCCTTCCTTGTTTCAAAAAAAGCATCTCCCCAGTACAAGCCCTGGCCTTTTTAATGATTTGGGCTTGGGCGCGTATTGAGTTCACACACTGCCAGTCACCTTGCCACCAAACTAGCTCTCCCTTCCTCTTCTGTATCCCATTTCCTTCTCCTAAACCTACGTACTTCATAGCATGGATGAGACACCGCTACTGGTGGCAAGAAGCTCTCCCGCTTCTCCTCCCTCCCTCTACCAGTGTGTCACGGGACACAAGAGTCCAGTCCTCGTTGGAAAAGCATAGTTTCAAGGACTCCTGAGTCAAGACCTCTGGAGAACTTTTTTTCCTAGCATTCCTTGTACCTCAGGCACAGGTGTTGCAGTATTCTTGTAGGTACTCCAACAGAGGGAGGGATGTGTATGTATGTGGAGAACTTGGCAAGTCTGGGAGAAGAAAGGTACAGGGGATTGCCTAGGAGTCCACAGAGGGTGGAGGAACACAAGGAGGCTGGTGGGAAGGGTTGCTTAATCCACTGACCTTTGCCATCTTTCTGCACACACTCAGGAAGGCTAGATATGTTGTTCATGTGTTCACAAAGTGAGTATGAGCCACGGGAGTTCACACATCACTATTGCATAGAGGCATTTTGTGTTGTGTGTGACTTAAATTCTGTAGATGCTCATATTTAACCAAGCCCCAATTTCCACCATACCTTCCTTCTTTTTGGTGTGGTGAAATTTCTCTGTAAATCCCCACAAAAGTAAGTTTGAGAAAATACAAGTGGGGGAAGGTGTTTATTGCAAACCGGCAGCATTTTAAAATGTCTTTTAAATGTCATTGCTGTTCTTTTGTGCAGTCATTTCCTTTGGTGTGGGTTTTTTCTTTTTTTGATTACAGAACAGTTTAAGTTCCATGGTACAACTGAAAATACCTTGAATATAAACATGAGATTGTCCCTATTTGTTTTAAACACTCTCATCATTTTATAGTAATACCTATATAAGGACATTTGCTTTGATAAATGCCATAGAAAAATATTCTGCTCTTGATTATGAATACATTTACATTTATGTGTAGACACTCTGTATGCATTCATTTTGCTCAACATGCTCTTGAATGCTCTAAATATTACACCACATTATACCACGAAGAAAATAATTTACCTTCAAGTAACTATAAGGATCTGACTCAGAGTCCACCAAAGCAAGGACATTCAGACTAATTAAGGATGACTTGGAATCCATGTTGATAGCATTTGCTTGTCCTTTGGGTATTAGTAAACTATGGAGTATTATGTACATTTCCTGCAGTTTTGTACGCAGTTAAGACAGTCATCACACATGGTCCAGCTGAAATCATCCGGATGGGATGAATGTAATTTAAGGATGCAGCTACATCTGTTGTTCAAACCATAAGCATTAAGTGGCCTGTTAAATGGACTTTTAAAAGCAGTATGATTGCTTCTTCTAAGTATAATCTACAATGAATAACTTTTTTTTTAAAAAAAGATGATTTTCAGTGCTTCATTTTTATTTATTCCCCATCCTTTGTCAGAGGAGCTTGAGACAGCGTACTGTACATGACCTAGCATTTTTTCCTCACAACAATTCTGGGAGGTTGTTAGGCCGAGAGATAGTGACTGAATGAAGGTTGTTCAGTGAGCTTAAAGGCTGAGGGTGTTTTGAACCTAGATCTCCCTTGTCCTAGGCTGGTGCTGTAACCACCACAACATACTGCCCTCATTGGCTATATATACACACACACACACACACACACACACACACACAGTGGTACCTCGGGTTACATATGCTTCAGGTTACATAGGCTTCAGGTTACACACTCCGCTAACCCAGAAATAGTGCTTCAGGTTAAGAACTTTGCTTCAGGATGAGAACAGAAATCGTGCTCCAGCGGTGCAGCAGCAGCAGGAGGCCCCATTAGCTAAAGTGGTGCTTCAGGTTAAGAACAGTTTCAGGTTAAGAACAGACCTCCGTAACGAATTAAGTACTTAACCCGAGGTACCACTGTGTCTATATATATATATATATATATATATATATATATATATATATATTAGTAAGCAGACCCTTATGTGTACTAATGGTAAGAGTATGAGGAGGCAGGAGACTGCAGCTATTCAGTGCTGAGGAAGAGGCACTTTTCACACGTCCACAGGTTACTTTTCTTCCCTTATTTTAGGACTACATCCAGTTTGCCCCACTGATACCTTGGCACAAATTAAGTTAGAAAGAATTGGCTGACTATAGGTGCAGATACCATAGGAATATCAAATGTGCTTTGCCCTATGGAGTAAATAGTGGTGTGTGATTGCAACTGATCTTACATCTAGCTTCACCTTTTCAGCAGCAAGGTATGATGAAACTGTTAGTTTTGTGATTTATGTAGCTAGATATTTGCCAAGAACAGGGCTGGAAAAACCTTTTCAGCACAAGGAGTACATTCCTTTGGGGAGAACTTTTTGGGGCTACATGCCTATGGCAAGTAGGGGCTACAGTCAAAAGGGACAGGGCTAGAGTCACCCCACACTCTTTCTTTCTTGCACATTTACATCACCTCTTCATTTGCGTAATCTCTCTCCATCCCTCATTCACAAGCACACATATGTGTGTGCACACATGCAACAACCGTCCAGTCTTCTCTCTTGCCCTTTCTTCTTTTTTCCTCCTTAGCAGCCTTCCTTCCTCTGACCCCATTCCCTGCAGCAATAAGGTTTTGGATAGTTCCCATTGCTGCATAGTGACGTGGGCAAATGAAGGAGGCTGTGGAGTAGATGGTGCAGACTGCCCACCCCACAAGAAGTGGCCAATGGGTGTGAGTGGAGAACTTTCCAGTCCCATTAATTTCGTTGTGAGATTCAGTATAGTTGCCGATTCAGTGGAGACTACAATCCTATAACCAGTTTCTGGGGTTTCCAGATTCAGGGGAACTAAATCCTGAGTAGACATGTACAGGAATACATTCTAAAAGGGAATAGAAGCAGATGGCTCCACATGATGAAAGTGATGTGGCGATGTGTGGCATTTGTTTGTTGTTGTTTAGTCGTTTAGTCGTGTCCGACTCTTCATGACCCCATGGACCAGAGCACGCCAGGCACTTCTGTCTTCCACTGCCTCCCGCAGTTTGGTCAAACTCATGCTGGTAGCTTCGAGAACACTGTCCAACCATCTTGTCCTCTGTCGTCCCCTTCTCCTTGTGCCCTCCATCTTTCCCAACATCAGGGTCTTTTCCAGGGAGTCTTCTCTTCTCATGAGGTGGCCAAAGTATTGGAGCCTCAGCTTCAGGATCTGTCCTTGCAGTGAGCACTCAGGGCTGATGGAACGGTTTGATCTTCTTGCAGTCCATATTTCATTTATTCACAGTAGAGGACATTGATCCCATTCCCCCCTTTTAAAAAAAACCACTTAGTATTTTTCTGTGTGATGGCTTGTTAAGTCTTCATTAATGAATTATGAACTGCTGTGCTTATGTAAACAATCTACACCTTACATATATGCATTGATTTCCATTTAATTGTCACTTTCAGATCAATGTATACCATAATGCCATTTTTGCAGTCTCTGTGCAGCCCCACAGACCATATTCTAGAAACTTTCAGTCTTCCCTGTTGACTGCCCAGAAAATGAGGAAATCCCCTGCATTTCTTTATCAAACTAGGGCTTAGGGTTATATGTGAACCTAGCTCAGTCCCTTAACGATGGTTTATTAACTATAAGTAAAGTTTGCTGGTTAACCAAGGTCTGTGGTTGGTTTATAAACCATAGTTACATTGCACCATAGCTTAGAGTTATGAGTGATCCTGGGCTGTCATCACCCCAAAGCTTCAAATCCACAAGTGGGCTTACAGAAAACTCAGACCTCTCTCAAGGATCAGCTGCTCTCGCTGTTGTTTTTACTGTAACTATTCTGTTATGTTATAAACCAAGATTTAAATGACTGTCTGCCAGGCACCTCGGCTTTATCTGTGTGTAACATTGACCATGGTTAATGTTAACCATGGTTTAGTGTGATGTGTGAACTCTGGGAAAATTAAGGGGAAAGCAGCATCCAGGGCTGTTATATTAGCGTTTTAGATATTGTTTACCTTTTCAACAATGCAACTGGTTTCTTTTATCCATCCTTCATGAAGAGATGGTGACCCATAACACAATCAGATAGGGTGATCCCGCCAGGTCGCAATTTGTGTGTTCTATGGCCCATTAGCCCCTGTCTGGGCTTTTGGACAGAATTTTACCCCTTTATGGGGGGGACCCGATTTTCATCCTGGAACAGGGGGTAGCTTTGTCCATCTCTATTTATTATTACACTTGTAGGCCACTCCTATCCATTTTACTTAGAAACAAACTCTCAGGCAAATGTGCAGATCATTGTAACTTATCTAAGTACAATGATGAAATAAAATTGAACTCTTCAATCATATTTCTAAAATGTGACTGAATTTCCATTTCTACCCCTTAATTAGCCACTGGGATTTTTCTTATGAGTGCTTACTTTAAAAACAAGTTTCTTCTTTTTCTGTGTGAAAGTCCTCAGGCATTTATACTCTTTCAGGCCCAGATATTCAAACCTTCCTTTCGTTTGCTACAGTGCTGACTTTCTGTTACTATTTTAAACTTTTCCTAAAAAAATAATAACTTTGTTTTCCCAACTAACAAAGACCAAGATATAATTAGAGTGCAGCAGCTTGCATCTTTACCTGTGATACCTATAATAGTTATGTTCATAAAAGCTAAGGCACTTACAATTTTTAAATTTCATAACAAATGGTAAAGTTTTGTGTTATGTTAAGTAATAAAGTTAAGCTTAGAAAGTGGGTATTGAGAGATATATATGCATGCATTATATGTTTTAATATTGATTATATGCATATCCAGTGCTTTTCCATTGAAAAGCAAGAAAAACTACCTTTCCAAAATGTTTTTTAAAATATTTTAATAGCCTGCAAGTTAGCAGCCTAAATAAATAATGTGAAGAAGAACAATCCCTGCCTTTTTCAGCTCCACTTATTCACGTGGAGAGTCTTCGCCCCTTCACACAGAAGCGGCCTTTCTAATTCCTGGGCATCCTTGTTGAAAAAGAAGCAGGCAATTGGAAAGAGTGATACACAGCTCACTCTCTGGAGAGGCCTGCTCCTGGGAAAGGATCTTTCCTGCCATTTCATAGGCTTTGTGTAACTTTAACTTAAAATAAATCCCCACAAACAAGTGAAAAGGTATGAAGGGATCATGTTTTGTTTGAGATCTAAAAATATACAATCAATATAAGTCTTTACAAAGCCTCTTGAGTTCTGGCTTTTTTTCTGATTGGCATCTGCTGGGGATGTATTTATAGATTTATTGTTGTGACTTATTTTATTTTTTTGTAAAAGGCCTGCAGTGGAGGTGGCTGCACGATAAGTGAAGCTAACTCAGCAACAACAACTGAGAGTACACCAGAAGGTGTTCCTGCTCCTGAAGCCCAGTCTTATTCCTCTGACTCCTTTAATATCTCGTGGGTGAAGCCAGAGTATCCGAATGGTAAGTGAACTCTTTTAGCCTCAAGTTAAAAAGATGATTAGTAAAGGTAAATTAATATTCTAAATGGCAGCTTATATGTGGTGCTTAATTTTTAATGATCATTTTAGCGCATAAAATACCTGAGATAGTATCATTGTCTATAGCTAGGAGACAGAAGTTTTCAGCCTTGCTTTGCTGTTTTAGTGGCTCAAAAGTGCTCCCTTTTGATGGTTCACATGTACTGCATTCCTTTGCCTAATGTATTTCCTGAACAACTGAACTGAAGGATTGTCTTTGGCACCTCTTAATAACGTGTTGATTTTTATAGCATTTTACCATAACTTTTGACTTTTGGATGTTTTATTTGTCTTACATTTTTTACTTTCTAAAAATGGAGAGAATAGTAAAGGGATTAAAGCGATTGACTAGGAGATGGAAGGATAAGTCTGTTTCCGGTCTGTGTCATTTTCAGATGTGTTTGTTCCTAAGTCTGCTGCATCCTGTTTCTGCAACAAGCTGTGATCTTTTAAAAAATGTATGAAAATCCACATTATTTTTGAACATATATCCCCACAAAACACAAGTTTTTATATGCATTTCAATCCAAAATACGCACTTTTGTATGTATTTCAATCCAAAATGTGAACTTTTATATGAAGTTTGGTAAGTTTTCTGGGCTTTTGGTCAAGAACAGTATTTCAAAATTCAGAGAAGTGTGAAAACTGAAAGGATAACAGCATTGTGATCCAAATGATAGTTTGTGCAAATTTGTTTGTTTAGCTTACAAACGCAGACCAATGTGATGTAGTAGTGTTTGAATTAGAATATGGACACTCAGGTTCAGTCTCTGCTCAGCCATCTTGAAATACCTCATAAGTTTTTAGGATAAAATAAAGTGGGGTACAGCATGCATAGTACTCTGCCCAGCATGGATGAGAAGGAGGGTTAAAATGTAATTTACAAGAATGTCCAACTGCTGCAGGGTGATAAAAGCTGACTTGGCCAAAGCTTTCCATTCTAAATAATCACAATTACTGTAGCCAGAATTGTCACCTTTCTTAGTGACTCTGGGCCAATGGCTTTATGAGCAACTGAATTTTAGCAGGTGAAACTTTTTCCTGGTATAGAGGTAAATTGTGGAGAATGCTTCACCTGCTCAATTCTGGTACATGATCAAGGCCCGTAAACATGTGGCAGTCTTATTTGCAGATACTTGCTGCTACTTTTAAAATAACTGCTTTTTTTAAAGTACAATTTTTAAAAGTACCAAATGAATATTTGGTCTCCTAGCATTCCCCCTGCATCCTTAAGATTTATATAAAAATTACACTAAGAAATCAATTCAAGTTGAGTACAAGACACTATTAACGAGGTCTTTGATAGACTAAGAGTTATAAATAACTATTGTAATCTGTCAGTTAATTTAAGTTTGCAGCTAATCTGCCTTCAACATAGCACTGTTGATTATTTCAGAATAATTTGTAAGCAATTAGGAATTTTAACAAGAAGCTTGCTCACAGATATGCATAGCACTGAGTGTGGACGATGGGATATGTTACTATTATTATTTGTTCTGTGAATCATTGCCTAGGACTATTTCCATAGCCATTAAACCATTTATTGTTGTTTTAAACATGGTACACCAGGAATGCCTCTTAGGCTGCTTCCAGATGACCTGTTTATTAAGCATTCGTCCTGATTTGTTTGCACAAAGCGTGCATGGAGGTTATATAAATGCCCGCTCTTTATTGAGCATTTATTCTGGTTTGTTTGTGTAGAGGTTACATGGAAGCAAGAAGCAAACAACAGAAAGTGATGGAGAGAACTTGAAGAGACATATATGCAAAGACGGCTGTAAGATGCTGTAAAGAAAGATATGACTTCCTATGAATTTATCATTATCCCACACTTTCTAGTACATTTCATCATCATTTTGCTTAGTGCAAAAAGTGGGTTTGTTGTGCCAGGAGGCTTTAATCCACATTAATTGCACAAACTTACATTTGCATGTATGTGATCAAATCCCTGCTACAGAATAGTTTGGAGAAATTAAGTCAGGAGTGTGTCACTTGTGAACATTTTATTGCAGGACAGAAATGATAAGAGATACATATTTTATACAATATATATTTTCCATTCACATTACAAGTGCAGAAAATGCAGAATCTGATGTGAGCAACTGTTGTTTGTTTGTTCTTTAAATCACCAACTACAAAACTCAAAAGGTGGCCAGTCCTCCTTCAATGTTGAGTATACTAAATTTTCAAATTGGTATCAGAATCAGGTTTAATATTTTCAAGTGCTTTGTTAAGATTAGTATAATTATCTTCAGTATTTATGCTGAATAGTAGTGATAACAGGAATACACAATTGTTAAGTCTACAACAAGTTGGATCTCATTCTTGGAAACAAGGCAGAGTTACAATTTCAGTTCTAGTTGTTTTGTGTGATGTATCTTTACATCTTTACAATAACTTTAAAGATGTAGTAAATTGTCCATTATGAAAGATTCTAGGTCTTATATTGAAACCTAGTCAAGATTATAGGTGATTTTGTAGTGACAGCAGAACATGGTATTCCCTACCCTTCCAGTCCCAATGTGTCCACATAAATTGATGACTGCAATACCCTTTAGCTACTCATACACAGAGGTATCAAACAGCTAAATTTATGAACTATCAAATGTACTCTTTTACCTGTTAGGTCTTTATGTCCAGTAGGTGACTACCAATGCACCTAGGTACAAATGCATTTTGAACGGCCAGCACCCAAAGAGCAATATAGGCCCTGAGGAGTTCCACAGTTCCAACAGTCTTCTGCAGCCATGAAATCCATACAATGGCCAGATGACCCTCTGGAGTTGCACTTAACATCCACATGAGAGGCTGCAGCCAGGACAGTTTGCATCTCCCAAAGTGCAGTTCAAAGTGTTTGTATTTGTGTTCTGCAGGGAGGTGGGACCGATTCGGATGGTCCGCCCCCGCCACTTAATGGATCCAAATGGTTTCCAGAGAGTGGTAGGGGATGCTCTATCCCAAGTTGATGGCCTTTCAGCCGATTCCCTGGTGGCCCGCTGGAATGTGGAGTTAACCAGGGCTATTGACTGTTTGGCTCCGAAGCGCCCTCTCCGATTGCATGGAGCCCGGAGAGCCCCGTGGTTTTCCACGGATCTGAGGGCAATTAAACAATCGTTGAGACGGCTAGAGCGCCGGTGGCGGATAACTCATTCCGAATCTGACCCGACACAGGTTAGAGCTCAACGTCGAGCCTACCAAGTGGCGATAGCGACGGCGAAGAGGACTTTCTTCGCTGCCTCTATTGCATCTGCAGAAAACAGCAGCAGGAGACTTTTTCAGGTGGTTCACAATTTAGCGGAACCACCTGCGACATTGGGGCCCAGTACGGGCCACATGATCTCCTGCAATGATTTTGCAAAGTTTTTTGCAGATAAAATCGCTCAGATTCGGGAAGAAGTAGACTCCACCGTGGGAGCAGGGCCAGGGCTGGAGAGTGCTAGAGTCCTGTCTAGTCAAGTTGTGTGGGATCAATTCCAATCTGTTACCTCCGAGGATGTGGACAGGCTGCTTGGACGAGTGAAGCCAACCACCTGTCTCCTGGATCCTTGCCCATCCTGGCTTATAAAAGCTAGCCGGGAAGGACTGGGCGATGGGCTTTGTGGGGTGGTGAATGCTTCCCTCCATGAGGGAGCCTTCCCAGACCCGCTGAAAGAGGCGGTTATTAAACCGCTTCTTAAAAAACCATCTTTAGATGCGGCCACGATGGCCAATTATTGCCCAGTCTCAAATCTTCCATTCTTGGGCAAGGTGATTGAGCAAGTGGTTGCTGAACAACTCCAGGCACGCCTGGAAGAAGCGGACCATTTGGATCCCTTCCAGTCGGGATTCAGGCCTCATCATGGGACTGAAACAGCCTTGGTCGCACTGGTTGATGATCTCCGGTGGGCTAGGGACAAAGGTGAGAGCTGTTTCCTAGTTCTGCTGGATCTCTCAGCGGCCTTTGATACAATCGACCATAACATCCTTCTGGACCGTCTTGAGGGGCTGGGAGCTGGGGGCACTGTCATACAGTGGTTCCGCTCCTTCCTCCTGGGCCGTGTTCAGAAAGTGATGGTGGGGGATGAGTGTTCAGACCCCTGGGCTCTCACTTGTGGGGTGCCTCAGGGTTCTGTCCTCTCCCCCATGCTTTTCAACATTTACATGCAGCCACTGGGAGAGATCATCAGGAGGTTTGGGCTGGGTGTTCATCAGTATGCGGATGATACCCAGCTCTACCTCTCTTTTAAATCAGAACCAGTGAAGGCGGTGAAGGTCCTGTGTGAGTGTCTGGAAGCGGTTGGAGGATGGATGGCGGCTAACAGATTGAGGTTGAATCCTGACAAGACAGAAGTACTGTTTTTGGGGGACAGGAGGTGAGCAGGTGTGGAGGATTCCCTGGTCCTGAATGGGGTAACTGTGCCCCTGAAGGACCAGGTGCACAGCCTGGGAGTCATTTTGGGCTCACAGCTGTCCATGGAGGCACAGGTCAAATCTGTATCCAGGGCAGCTGTTTACCAGCTCCATCTGGTACGTAGGCTGAGACCCTATCTGCCTGCAGACTGTCTCGCTAGAGTGGTACATGCTCTGGTTATCTCCCGCTTGGACTACTGCAATGCGCTCTACGTGGGGCTACCTTTGAAGGTGACCCGGAAACTACAACTAATCCAGAATGCGGCAGCTAGACTGGTGACTGGGAGCAGCCGCCGAGACCATATAACACCGGTCTTGAAAGACCTGAAAGACCATTGGCTCCCAGTACGTTTCCGAGCACAATTCAAAGTGTTGGTGCTGACCTTTAAAGCCCTAAATGGCCTTGGTCCAGTATATCTGAAGGAGCGTCTCCTCCCCCATCGTTCTGCCCGGACACTGAGGTCCAGCTCCGAGGGCCTTCTGGCGGTTCCCTCACTGCGAGAGGCCAAGTTACAGGGAACCAGGCAGAGGGCCTTCTCGGTAGTGGCACCCGCCCTGTGGAACGCCCTCCCATCAGATGTCAAAGCGATAAACATCTACCTGACATTCAGAAGACATCTGAAGGCAGCCCTGTTCAGGGAAGTTTTTAATATGTGACATTTTAGTGTATCTTTCATCTTTGTTGGAAGCCGCCCAGAGTGGCTGGGAAAACCCAGCCAGATGGGCGGGGTACAAATAATAAATTATTATTATTATTATTATTATTATTATTATTATTATTATTATTATTATTACCATGGCCAATATAGTCATACCTTGGGTTTGAATGTGATCCGTGTAGGAGGCACGTTTGCAACCCGCAGTGCTGCATCTGCGCACGCTCGTGACACAATTTGGTGCTTCTGTGCATGCGCAAAGCGCGATTTAGTGCTTCTGTGTATGCACTAGCACCAAAACCTGGAAGTAACCCATTCCGGTACTTCTGGGTCTGGCGCGGTCTGTAACCCAAAAACATGCAACCCGCAACGTTCGCAACCCAAGGTATGACTGTGTATACAGTTTCACGGTACTATTTGGCAGGCTAAACTTTGCAGATATTTGACCTGAAATATTTACAGTTTGGTACCACCATGCCCCACCCCAGTCTGGTGCATGCTTCCCCCATCACCTCCAGTATATGTATTTGAGCTAGGAGAATGATACATACACTGTCTCCTTCTGCCTGAAACAGGTTTCAGGTCATATGAATGGTCAGTTGGGTGATAACAGCTCATGGATATATGTTTGTGTGATTCTAGACACCAATGAGCCACATGTGTATGTGTGTGTCATGGGGAGGAGTTGCCCAACAAATCTATGCCTTCATTATTTCCATGAGTAAAATATGGAATAGATTATCAGGGCACCTATAAGAACATATCAAGTCACAGTAGCTCCAAAAAGCTGAAATTCATTGCTTATTGAGATTTGCAACTAAAACATGCCGCTGCAAAGGATGGAAGTACTATATAAGAAGCTGTGCATTTGTGAAGGAAACACTGTCCTGAGTTTGAACAGGCAAAAAGAATAAAATGTTTATAATTGAAGTTGACATTTAAACTAACTGTAAAAAGCAGCTTATTTCCAAGTACAGAAGACAAAACCTATGATAAGTTCTACAGCCCATTAATTACATTCACAGTTCCATTATAGGCAGTCCTGTGGTGCATTTTACAACTTCCATACAGAGCACTAACAATGTTCCCCTTGGATGTGCAGAACATTGGGTTGATTTAGATATCAGGGTAAAGGCAACAGAGGGTTAGGGGGTCAGGAGACCAATTATTTGCTAACTACCATGTAATTTCAGTGATAATGGCAATGGTATGGATTCTCTTTCTAATGTTAACTATAATGTGGATGTGATATCCCTGGGATCATTTGAAGAATTTTTACATACAGATAAAAAAATAATAGAGAAGCAGAAAGCTCTCAGTTCCATTTGGAAACTACAATTTGAATGACAGTATCACTAGGCAGATAGTGGGAAATATTGTACTCTTACATCTCTATGGACCAAATTATCTAATGCCTGGCATTCTCTATAGTCTGGTCCTGTGATGGCCTGGGATTCCGATTCTGAGAGTGAACCGGAGGAATCCCAGCCAGCACAGGAGTCCCCGCCTCCAGGGCTGGCTGAACTGGGGCAAGGCCTAGATGCTGAGGAACCTCAAGAGCAGGCACCAGGTGAAACCATTCTGGCCCCAGAGGTGCTGGAAGACTCAGTGGCTACAGGTGAGCCTCCCCCAGGGCCCAGTAACCCTTCGGCCTCTCCTGAACTGCAGAGGCTTAGGGCAGAGAGGCGAAGGGAACTGGTGTCTCCCAGGAGGAGTGCTCGCCTTAAGGCCAAGAGAGGCGGGGCTTCTGGGGGCCGGGACCGCCCCCGGCCTTAGAAGAAGATAAAGGTCAGGCAGCCCGGTCCCAGGTTGCGGGAGCAACGTCGTTATTGAAGAGCTGTTTCGGCCAGCATCCAGTCCTGTTCCTCCAGTGTTCCTGTTCCGCGCCCGGCTTCCTGCTTCTGACCTTCCAGCGTTCCTGTTCCCCGCCCGGCTCCCTGCTTCTGATCTTCGAGTGTTCCTGTCCCCGCCCGGCTCCCTGTTTCGGACCCTGCCTCGCACCTTGTGGACTATTACCAGGCTAGTGACTCAGGACTGAACTTTGACTACGGTAACTGTAACCTTCCCCCCGGGACCAGCACAGGTCCCCACCCAAATGAAAATGCCATTAAGATTTCAGTTGGAGCAGAAACCCTTGGGATTGTGAATGTCTCTGCTGCCATCTTGGACCTGGTCCCTCCTTGGTTTCCTGATACAGAGGCAAGAGAAAACTGCACTCTGGACTTTAAGAAGGCCAACTTCAAAAAGCTTAAAGAGCTACTGGGTGAGATCCCATGGTCAGAAATACTCAAAGAGAAGTGAGTCCAAGATGGTTGGGAGTTTCTTAAAGGTGAAATATTGAAGGTCCAAATGCAGACAATTCCAACAAGAAAGAAAAGTGGGAGGCATCTAAAGAAACCAGTGTGGCTGCATAAGGTGCTTACAGATGAGCTGAGATTTAATAAGGGCATGTATAAGAAAGGGAAGAAAGGGGAAATCACAGAGGAGTATACATGAGTAGCCAACCATTGCAGGGTGAATGTCAGGCAGGCCAAAGCTCAGAATGAGCTCATAATAATAATAATAATAAAAGGTTTCTTTGGCTATGATAAAAGCAAGAGGAAGCAAGTTGTAGGTCTTCTGCATGGAAAAGACAGAGAAATGCTGTTGGGTGACAGAGAGAAGGCAAAACTGCTCAACACCCAATTTGCCTCTGTCTTCACCCAAAAGGAAAGCAGTGCTCAGCCTGGTGATAACAGAATCGACATAATTGTAAAGTTAAGTAATGTAAGTTCCGAACTACACCCACACAATGTCACTGAAAGTCTCCTGTTCGACTCCAAAAGCAGCAGAATATCAGCAAGCACACCCTCCCCATGGTATATTTTGGGGGAAGCAGGGCTAAGAATGGCTCTAGCTTTACTTCATCTGTGTCTAAAGAGTAGACCCAGATTACTTTTGGCTTGCCCACATCTTTACCTAATGTCATATATAACATTACATTTAGGGCAGCTAAGTGTGGCTTGGTCAAAACGGAAAACACAGCAAGAGAGCATTGCAAAATGGTATTACAAAACAGGCCCCTCCCAGCTGTCAAACTTGGGCGGCAGGGGATGGGGAAGATAAGGAACTGACTCACCGGGTTGAATCCACTTCCCCATCTCTGTCTTAACTCCATCATTAGAGAAAACTTCCTTTTAGTTGGAGCACGTAAACCATGTTTATGCTGTATAGCAACGAAAGAAAACTCCCCTCTGCTTACCAGGTGCAGTACAAATTAGTTAACAGAACCCATAACACCCCCTCCCTTCCAGGTCTGCAATTCTGAAGTAATGTCTCAATTAATGGCAATTTTTTGAAACATTCGTATTTGTCTTATTTTTAAGAACAACAGCAACAATTAACATTGCAGAGGAGGGGGCCAAGGTCAAGAGATGGACAGAGGAATTGTCTTTTGACTTGTACTACAGCAGTATGTTTAAAATATGGATCACTAGTTTTTCTAGGTCTGAAGGTGTTAGGATTCTAAATGGTCGCTATATATCTTCAGTGTCCTTGTTTTAATCCACACATGCATTTGCATGCAGAGTGGGGCCGTGAAACGGAATTGCCTCAACTTTCCCAGCTCAATTGCTTTGACTTACACTTCAGAAACAGGTCTATTAAGAAGCAAGTCTATTAAGGTCTACTTTCTTTGGAGCGGTTTAATTTTACTTTTTAACGAGATGGGCACAGTACCGCTTCATTGGACTTCTCGTGTTTTACATAGAGATTTGTTTTGTTGGCACATGTATGTTGCTGCCTCTATTTTGTAAGCGTGGAGATGAGAGAATGTACTGCCTTGAAGTTCTATTAAAAGACTGTTGCTTCCCTCCCTCTTACCTGTTATGATCTTTTAAATCAAGCCTTTTAAGTTTCTCTTTGTTTTTGTTTGTTTAAATAGGATTTATCACCAGCTATGCATTGTACATGGATGACATTCTTGTACAGAATTCTTCCCAGCTCAGTTATTTTACTTCTGGACTTTCTCCTTGGAGTCTACATTCCTTCAGAGTTCAGGCATGTACTGCAAAAGGCTGTGCACTAGGCCCACTGGTGAGTACCTCAATTTACATTCTGAGAATGTAATAAATGTCAGATGGCAGCGAATACCAGACTAAATGGTGATGATTCACACTGGTCAGTACTAACCCATCTGGCAAAATGTGACATTTTATAAAAAATGCCATTAAAAGCTGCAAAGGATTGGAATAGGTCACCACTAGGCACTGTTCCAAAATATCATATAGATACAGTAAAGACTGAGACAGGGAGTGTGGAAAGGGGGGGTGGAAAGTAGGGTGAAACGCATATTATTAAAATTAAGGGAAGTTAATATGTTTAAGAGGTGCAAATGTAGTTTAATCTGACTTATAAGGATGCAATTAAAAGAAGAATTGCTATTCTAGTAATGAATAAAAAAATTCTAGCCTCTGCCTCAACATAAAAGTTTGAAGATAATATAAAGTTTGTAGAATACCAAACCACATTAAACACCACATTATCAACATCAATGCCTAATATGGTATGTTGTTCTGAAAAAGGTATGGATGTAGGATTAAAGTGTATGCATTTCTGAATGTGATGCAGCAGCAAGTAACATACTGAGAATTTTAGAAATGTAGAACTCTTAGTACTGAAATAATAAGTTGGAGGTTTAAATGACATCTACTTTATTCTCTAATATTGACAGCTCTTTGGTTCTGTAACCACTTTGTGCTCCCCTAATAAGTATTTTTAATTATATAAATCTAAAAATAAAATCACCAGAAGTTATTTAATAATATCAGTGTTTTCTAGCATGAGAAATAATCGCATTCTTTGGTGATCTTGCTTCTGACTCTGATAAGAACATTCCAGAATGACACGGTGTTGTGTCAAAAACAACATAGCTTCTGCCTTTATGAGGCTTAATCTTGTTAAAATTGAACTTGCACTTTGCAGTAAAATCTGGGAAGAAAAGCTCCCCTCCCCACCCAAGCTTTTATTCAAGAATAAAACCCCACTGAAATACATACTCTAGCATTTCTGGCAAAGTTTTTCTTAACAGGCTCTCACTTTGTAATATTAGCTTCACCGTACGAAGATTACCTTTTTTAAAAAAAAGGACACCAGGACTGAATTTTTTATTTTGATTTTTGATCACATTTCCCTTTTTCTTCCCAAGATTCATTGCTTTAAAATGCTAGTAACATCATCCATCTGTAGAGCAGGATTGTAGACTTTATTACCATTAAACATTTTATAGCTTGGACGGGGTTGATGGATATTTACTCTTAAAAGCATGAGTGGCTTTTTGCCAATTTTTCTACTCAATTTTTTTTTTAAAAAAATAATCCTGGAAATTTAGGGAACAGTGCACCAAACACTTGTGCAGCTGCTGCTGTTCAAACTCCATTCATTCCTGTAGGATTTGTGTGGGGCTCCCACACAACCTCTATTCAAATGCACAAAGGCTGCGCAGCAACAACAGTGCTGCTTGAACCTTTCCCTTAAACTTCGTTTTGTTTTGTTTAAGGCGTCCCGGTTCCATTGAGTTGGCGTTAATACTGAATCACTTCTCTCTAATAGTAATACTAAGCATTAGTATTACTATTACGCACAAATAGTAATACTAAGCATTTCAGATGGTAGCATTGCACTTGCTGCTCACAGTATATTTTACTTGTACAGAATTGCAATAGTCTCAAAATATTCCGTCGTGTTCTGAAAGAAACTAGTAAGCAACTGCACTTCATTAAAGCAGAAACTCGGCCCTGACTTTCAGTGCAATTCAAAGTAGGGGTTTAGAGTCGACCTAATACTTATCTGTATCGCCTGCTCAGAATGCAAACTATTTTCCTGAGCCAGTGATCCATCTCCAATCACAAGAATTGAAATGCAATGTCTTTATTTGGAGAGCAACTCACCTAAATGCTGCCAGGAAGTTAAAGCAACACATCTTCATTTGATTTTCTGAAAGATTTTTCCCACAATTACCATTTATATCCAACACTTGGTTTAGAAATATATATTTAGCTCATTGAGAACTTTAAATAGAAGCAGGGACATCTCCCTGTGGTAAACTGATATTATCCTTCCAGCTATTTTTGTTGCTGATCTTTTATTTAATGTGCCCTAATCGATTGAAGAGATGCTTTGCAACGCAAGCACCTCAAAGAAGCAGATTTTTGAAGGTAGCAGATTTTAATGAGTTTTTTATGTATTGCTGTTGCATAATACGTTGGCTTAATGGTTTTTCAGAGAAGCTGTGTATGATTTCAAATTTAATGAAAATCTGGGAAATGGATAAATCAGAAATAATTAACTTACCCTTAATATATAAAATAGTTATCCATTTGGAATCTCTACCGATTTCACTGTGCTGTTTATGGAAGTACATAGCTGTTTAGAACTTTGATTCATCTGGGAATCATAAAAACGCATCTGATAAACAAGGTACATATCTCAAAACTACAAGTATGTACTTTAAGAAAATGATAGATAGATAAATTAATATATACTATACAATTGCCATATGATTTTGAAACATCTTTATTTTGTCATATATTCTCTTATTTGGAAAAATATTAAGCGCAATTTAAATTTTCTTACTTGATTGTTAGTTCTGCTTATTTTCTAAATTTTATTTAATTGAAAAATTATCAGTATATAAGGCATTGAATGAAAGCTAGACAAGTTTTTTGTCCACTCAATTTTTATGTTTAATGTCTTGCCTGCATAGTAAACAATATGCAATTTAAGATACAGTACTGAAAAAGCATAACTATAAGTACAATGCATCAGGTGCAGAATGGCATATAGGCATTTAATCCAAATTGTCTAAAAGGACACAGGGTAAATTGTGACTTTACTGAAAATTACGAGGACTGCATTGCCTTATATTATGTGAGGCACAAAATATGAATATGATGAAGCAGGTGCACAATAGAAAAGAATGAGGGAAACTTGAGCTCGCTTTATATTACTAAGCACACTCCGACTCTGAGAAGCTTTTTGTTCTAATGGTAAAATAATAAAACAATAATTATGGAGACACAGATAATTGAAAATTAATGTCACACATCTATCACATATGGCAGCCTTTGCTACATTTTGAAAGGTAGCACTAATGAAATAGGTATACAGCAAAGTTTCAGTTCAATTCCACAGGAGTGTATGGCTTCAGGATGACGTGTGGAGTCATGTTTCATACAAATGTTCAGCATCTTTGAGCAGTTTAGCAATATTCAATCCCACCACCCTGTCCTGCAGTATAGGCATATATAAACTTCTGCTGTTTTAATGCAATCATTAACCTGTGTTCTAGGATCAGGGTTTGCCAACAATTTGGGGTTGGTGAGTGCATTGGGAATTTTATGAATTTTGCATTAGGAATTTTGTAAATTTTTGTGGGGTAACAAAAAAGGTCTGATACATCTAAAAGAAAAGAGAGAGAGAGAGAACTATGAAATGAAATGATACAGGCATGAACCTTCCTCAGCTGCCCGACCCAACCAATAGGAAACAGGCACACCTACAGCAGCCACCACTTATAGATGGAAGCTCTTTGCCCCACGCCTCTGTTTAGAGCAGAATAAAGAGTAGTGTCCAGTCCTGGCTTCCAATGAAATATGGGAATGTTTAAGAGGCTTTGTGGATAGACCAATGGATAGACCAAGCCAGTGCAAACCAAAACTGAGCAGGAAGAACATACCGTCTCTCATGCATTGTTCGTGTTTGAGGCGATATTTATGGAGACCTTTCATTGGTACCATAGGAGATACTGACAATCACAGGCAGGCAGCACATTGGTGATCCCTATTGTAGGTACATGAAAGCTGAAAATAGCCATTGCAGGATATAGGGTCATAGGTAGCTATGTAGAACAGGCTTCCTCAACCTCGGCCCTCCAGATATTTTGGGCCTACAACTCCCATGATCCCTAGCTAGCAGGACCAGTGGTCAGGGATGATGGGAATTATAGTCCCAAACATCTGGAGGGCCGAGTTTGACGAAGCCTGATGTAGAGGAACAGATGCTGCCAGGAGCAGGGGGGTGGGGCTACAGGGGAGGGGTGGCATGTACCTGGCCTTTTGTCAACCACATTGCTGAATTTAGTGGGAGGGCAATGGAGGCCAAAGGGGTGGGGGCAAGGTCAGCATGATGGAGGTGCAGCAGGAGGAGTACAAGATTGGCTCTATCACTGTGCTCACACCTTCCTGACCTTCCTGCCACTTCATCCCTCTCCATCCCAGTCAATGCAGCAGTGAAGCTGTTGAGAGGCCAGAAGCACACCACTGTCCCTCCCTGGAGGCTGCTGCTGCTGGACAAGACTGTAAGAATGGAACTGGAATGTGGTCTCGGGGCCTGAAGCAAAAATATAGACAGGTAGAAATAAAAATTGAGAACAGGAAGAAAAACAAGGAGGACTTGAACTAGGAACAGAAGACATTAGGCAGAAGTTATGTGGGAATGGTAAAGGTTCATGTGGCAGGGAAAGAAAGTGGATAGTTCCCAAACCACATACTCAGGAAGCAAACAACCCAGCAAGTGTGATCACAAGAAACATGAAGCAACTATTTCTGTGGTGTTTTCCTTTTGAAGGAGGAGAGGATGGCCACAGGTTTGGCAACTTTTTACCTGTGGCTACAAGAAAGCATGGCAGGGAGATGAGCTCCTTTGGGGTACAGACAAGAGCTCTCCTAAGGTGCAAAGATCGATGGATATAGAACAAAAAGGGCACACACTGTCTTGGAAACTGCTTGCTAAAATGGTGTTACAATACCTGCTCTCAGTTCTTTGGCAGGTGGGTTTGATAGTATTGACAGAAGACATTTATTCACAGCAGCAAAAAGGCAACAGTCACATCACAGGGCATCCTGTCTCTTCCCCACTCCATCACCACAAGCCTTAAGACCTTTTCATAGATTCTGGGAGCACTGGGGCTACAGGACAAGTTCTAGGTTGAACAGCTTATGTTTCACATATAGGCAATCTTGGTTTTCATCCCAGGGCACAAGCCAATCACTAGGGAAAGGGGGAGGCCCCCTCCCATAGGCACATCTGAGCCAATAATGAAAGACACTGCATGAACCAATAGTCTTGCTAGCACTGGCAATGGTTGACATGGATTGCCTAGTCTCTGCCAATGGAGAGCTCATAGGCAAGGAAGGGTAGGAAGTTCCAGTTCATAGGATTTCCATGTCAATAAGGCACAAATGCATGGAAGTCTGTTGTAATCAATCAAATCTGTGATAATTCCTATAGACGGGCACTTACAAACACTCTCAGCAATGTAGAAATTATAATTAGGAATGCTTACAAATCTTCCGCTACTGAAGTTCTGTGTAATATTTCTTTCTTTCTTTTTTTAAACAAATGTCTATTGGAGCAGAACAGATAATACCTGAACCTAGGTTTTTTTTGCAGAGTTCTATTTCTGGAAAGTGTGATTTATGTGAAAATTGTTCGGTTTGGTTTTGTATTTTTAAATGTTTTATTTATTATTTAAGGCTGCTTTTGTTACCTTGTAGTTACCTATTTTTCATGTTGTGAGCCACCCTGAGCACAATTTAAACTGCAGAAAGGCAGCATACAAATAAAAGTATGTATGTATGTATCTATGTATATCTATGTATGTATGTATGTAATGGGATAATAACAGAGAAGAACTACCTATACTTCCTTATAATAATCTTCAGATGAAGGGCAGTATAGATAAAAATTTAAAAATATAATGCATGATAAATGCATATCTTGCTTTCTATCTGTAAACCTAAAAATATTTATATTAAAAATATTTATATATTCATTAAAATATCTGAGCAGTTTAAAACAATTTTATATATAAAACTGTACAATAAAAACCATATAAAAATTTAAAAATCAGAACTAATTACTAAAACAAGATATTCAGGGACTTAAGAATGATGGGTACTCATTTCACAGAATCCAAGGGGAAGGGCTGTAGCTCTATGGTAGAGCATCTGCATAGTGTGCAAAGGTCTAGCTTCAATCACTAGCATCTCTAGGTAGGACTAGGAATATCCCCTGTTTGGGACTCTGGACAGCCACTACCAGTCAGTGTAGACATTACTGAGCTAGACAGACATACAGGTCTGACGTTGTATAAGGCAACTTCCTGTGTTTCAGTGATGACAGTTGTTGTTACACATGCTCTCTGTGCTGACCCATGGCACTGGAAACAGGAATGGAGGCGATCTGGAAATCTTTCATTGTCATGTACCAGGTGAACAAAATGACCCTTCTTCTCATGCTTCCCTTTTTTCTGTAACAAACATTATTAAATTTGCAGGTAGAGGCTCGTACCAGTGAAGATGCACCTGAAGGAACAATTGAATTATTTGTCTTTAATGATGGACCCAGAGCAGTTCAAGTGAAGTGGCTTCCTCCTCGTGAGCCAAATGGGCAGATAAGCTACACTGTTCTTTTCACTGGCTTCTTCTATACTGATGAAGGTATTTTCATTTTGGCACTTCAGTGGAAATGTTCTAGTGTTGTTTTGCTATACATTTGGTGTCTCGGGTTGATGGTTGTTTTGCAAAATAATTTTCTTACGAAGACATTTGAAAGTGCTGCTACTGAAGTGAAATCTGGATCACCAATGCAGCCCAGCTGTTTTAAAAACAGAATAAAAATGTTGGTTCATCATGATAGAGGGCCACTTATAGATCTTTTCTGTAATTTGTAGTTTGGCCTTCAGCAAAGATACTTAAATTTTTGTGGAAGTGAGCTGTACTAGCATCATAGGCACTGGATCGTAGGGTCTGAAGCACTACCCCCTATGTTTTATTTGAGGGGGCCAAGCCCCCTCACTGTTCAGAGGGTGTTTGGCTCCACCCCCTGGCTCTTCACAACATACATGCGATGTCAGGAGGTTGTATTGGGCCCCCTCAATCATCTTGAGAAGCTGGCGCCTCTGACTAACACTATTCATCCCCCATCAAATCTAACGCACACCTCAATGTTCAAAACCTTGAAAGCAAAAAAGTATTTGCTGGCGAATGTAAATGCACCACCAAATCTAATGCACACCCTAATTTTCACCAAAAAAGGTGTGCATTACATTCAAGTAAATATGGTAATCTAATCAATGGCAGAAGAAGACTCATATCAGCCAACAGTGATGGGAATCACCTTTCTTGGAAAAATATCTTAACACTCGTAGCTAATTTCTGGTCAATATACAGATTTTATTTCCTGATTTTCTAGTTGCACCACATACACACAGGGAAGTGGGGAAAATTAGAATCAGTTCA